CGAAAATGTATGGTATTTTAGGCATAAAAAATCCTGATTCCTAGGCAAAGTAAAATGAGCCTTGAGCACATGTTTGATTGTTTGTTACATAAATAATAGACTGGTCAAGTATATATATATATATATATATATATATATATATATATATATATATATATATATATATATATATATATATATATATATATATATATATATATAACTAGTTTGCTTCTTTAGTGTATTTTTATTATGATTTCAAGTGGCATCATGTAAATTATGTCTATAGAAATGTTTTCATTTGTAGTGACGAAGATATTAATTTGGTCCTGGTTCCGCTGCTGTTCCTCTGTCAGGGCCTCAGGGAAGTAGAGTTTACTAGTGTCTATATCTGAACCACACTCCCCCATTAGGAAAAGGTCTAAGTACAGAGGGAAGGGTAGGGGGATAGGTAAAGGTAGACGGAAGCCCACTAAGACCCACGGTAAAAGCTTCCTGTATAGCACCCCATTATAGGCCCTATAGTGCATGAGGGATTTGGTGATCCTGACACTACGATAATTCTCACAGATTTTGCCCCTCACTGACATGTCGGGATCCATTTTGATCAAGCTTTCACCTGAAGTATGAACTATGAGCTTGAATTCTTTTGGCTCATTTTCACTAAGGAAATGCTTCAGGAGGTAGTTGCCCACATACAAATAACCCAAAAATCATCCTCGTATACTAATAAAGAAGGGCCTTGGACGTCCAGCAACCTTGAGGAGATTGAGAGGTTGATTGCCTTTTTAGTATATACAGCTTTGGTAAAGGTAGAAAGTGAGACTGAAAATTATTGGAGTGTAAAAACCTTATAGCATGGTCTGTGGGAAATCGGTTTAAGTACAATGCTCCTATAGCTTTTCTGAATGTGGTGGACCCTGTCACTGAAAACCCCAGCAATAAACTGTATCAAGAACTGTACCAGCCATCGCAGAATATTGCTGTTGTCTGTTGACGAACACATGGTCAAATCAAGGAACAGGCCAGGGATTAGGCAGTTCATGAAAGATAAGCCTACTAAGTGGGGGATAAATCTATACAGACAGTTCTAATGGTTATACTTGCGACTTTGAGATTTATACAGGGATGAAGTCCAGAGATTCATCGCAGCATGGATTGGGGTATGATGTGGTGATGTGATCTAAGTAAGTCTTACGTCTTTTGCGGTCCAATATATATTTTGTGCCAAAAAAGGAAATATTTTCATAATCCAATTGTGTGGATGAGTCCTGCTTTGGCACACATTACTTTTTTGTAACTACCAGCGGCGACGCCAGCCCAACAACACTTGGTCATGCTATGTGCAAATATTTTCATGTTCTAGATTGTGAAACAATCAATTTCTAAAGAAATGAGTAATTACACTGGCCTGTATGCCAAGTGTCTTAAATCCCCCTTTTTCTGTTTTTTTTCGTAGTCGAGAAATCGAGTTTGCGTTAGCTCATCGCAGGCTCAGGCTGCAACTATTAAGCCAAAATGCCTTCGATACCTCAGTTCCGTAATTTATGTAACACAGTAAAAAGTTCGTATTTATGTACGTAATAGCCGGCTCATGTCATGCTTGTGGTACATTTTTTGTTTATTAGCCCATACACTTGTACGCACGCGCACAATTCCGAACTCCGACGATAGAGAGTGCCAGTGCTCCAGTGACATATTCAGTTCAGTTTCAAAATGGCGGCTTTTCACTGAGCTATCTAATATATATTTCACACAGTTTCGTTGAATTTTTAAAGAATTGTTACGATTTTCCTGTGAAAAATACGTTGTGGCGCACTCTGGACTCTCTGGCGTGTTGAATGTATGTGTTTTTCTTTGTGTAACGACTCGAAAACCCCAAAATTTGGACCGAGCGAATTTATACAATATAGTGAAATATAAACAAGGACAAGTTAAATGTTTGACAGTTTGACTTTTTAATTAACAAGTATAAATATACGTTGTAGACTCATAAACATGTGTTGCGCACTTGTGTTCATTTGCATAATTATAGATTTACATGTAATTACATTAATTTGCACCAAATTATTCTCCATTTCACATATTAGCCTTCTATAGTCTATAAAAATGAATGTATTTTTCGATTGTATTCTAATTCAGCGAGGTAGCGTTGCGTGCGGCGAAGTGAAACGTGGTATGGTTCGATTTGTTGTTGGAACAAGATCCAACTTTCCCCCCAACTTTTTAATTCTCAAATTGTTTATTAGGGGCCGATTACATGGAGCATTTTCAACCCCGGGGTTGAACTCAGCCCTGTTTACCGGGTTGAAATTTCAGCCCTATCTTAAACTGAAGTTCAGGCCCTATATTCACAGAATAGGGCCTGACACAAAACCTATCTAAACTGTGGGATTCCCGTCCACCTGGTGGACGGGAAATCTGATTGGTTGATCAGCATCATGAAGGATTTTGATTGGTTGCATGTTCACATAAACAACAGTTTTAAAAATAGCTCGGTCAAGGCGACAATTAATATAAAGGTCAAACGCACGTACAAATTCCATTATCGATTTCTTCGAATTTCTTTTTCTTTTATGCTTTATGGCAGAAAATAAATCAAACAAACAGTATTTTGAAAGGGCTTTATCAAAATCTTGGACGAATTTTGGACACACAACGCCGAAAGAACAGCCAAACTAGTCATGTATTCGAAAGCTTGTTGTTGACAGCCAAGATGTTCTGCCAACTAGCTTCGCCGGCAAAAGTCTTATTTTTAATATCAGGTCCTACCGGCGTTGTTTTCTGAGCTACATCGCCTTCTTCGTGGTACGATTGAGAATTTAATTGTTGCTGTTGTTAGCCCGTTAGTCGTTTATAGAGTATATCCGCGTCCAGCAAGTTGAGACCTTGAGAAAGCTTGGCAGTCAAGCCGTCCACAGAACTGACTAATTAATATAAATCTTTGTTTGCTGTTCGGTTAAATTTAAATAGAGAAACTGACTCTTAATTATATAAAAGAACCTTGAATTTTTAAGTTTAATGAAAAAGCAAAATGCATACTCTGCGGACATGTTCATGAGAATATAAATTTTTTGTGTAACGAAATCGAAATCTACAACACTTGTCAATCATATTGCATGTGTGTCTAAAAATAACATGTGGGCGTCCCACGGTCTAGACAGGTTTTGTGTCAGGCCCTATTTCAAATTAAGGCCTGAACTTCAGGTTAGCCCTATCTGTAATACAAAACTCTATCTTTAAAACCAAACGCGCGATTACATGACAAAATTTTCGACACAGGGCTGAGTTCAACCCCGGGGTTGAACTCAGCCCTGGGTTGAAAATTTTGTCATGTAATCGTTTCAACCCAGGGCTGAAATTATCATCATGACTTATTCAAGCATACGTGGTAGTGACTATTTATTACAAGAAAACAAAATAAAGGCTTTTTTTGCTTCCGCGAATCGATGCCGCGAACGTATAGTATAACGTTTCAATCCCGGGGTTGAAATCGTCCATGTAATCACAAAAAATTTCAACCCAGTTAACAGGGCTGAGTTCAACCCCGGGGTTGAAAAAGCTCCATGTAATCGGCTCCTTAGATGTTTACTGGTTGAGGGTAGCCCGCGTGCAGGCCCAAGGGAAGAATAGTGGGGTTAGAGAAGGGTTTGGGATCAGTTTATCTCACGCCGGGTCAGCTCTTCCCAAAAATCGGCCATCTGATATAAACTTCTTCAATATATTTCGGATGGACATGAAACTTGCTACATCAATATAACTTTCCATTCCGAACAATCGTATGTTTTTTATTTTTGAGATTTAACGGTTTTTGGCGGGAAAATGACGTCAAGAAACCTCCAGTTAAAATTTACTTTCAATATCTTAATAGTTTTGTCGCAGAATTTGGAAGAACATGTCATGAACAGTTCAAAACTGAAAACGGATTTTAAATATCTAAACCTAATCCAAAGTTATTTCACTATAAAACCCGTGAAAAATCTAAAAATAGTAACAAAATGGTGGAAAATTCGATTCTAACCTCCCTGTATCTCGTGATTAGATTAAGATATTTAAAATCTCTTTTCAGTTTTGAACTCTTCATGACATGATCTTCCACATTCTGCTTAAAAACTATTAAGATATTGAAAATAAATTTTAACTGGAGTTTTCGTGACGTCATTTTCCCGCCAAAAACCGTTAAATCTCAAAAATAAAAAACATACGATTGTTCGGAATGGAAAGTTATATTGATGTAGCAAGTTTCATGTCCATCCGAAATATATTGAAAAAGTTTATATCAGATGGCCGATTTTTGGGAAGAGCTGACCCGGCGTGTCTTATAACTGGCAGCAAATTGGCGAATTTTTTGGAAGAATCATCTATGTCTATAAACTTCTTAGCACCTGAAACGAGCCATATAATGGCATTAAAAATCAAGGACAATAGAATTTATTCGTTAGTATTGACCCATCATTATTTATGGTTGTTAGTTGATGATCATAGTTACAGCGCACCTGGCTTGTCAGGTTGAATTGTCCGTAGCCAGAGCGGCAGAGGGTACGCCTGAGCCGGCGTCTTGGTATATTATGGTTGATAGTTGCTAATCATGATTGTATTTATTGGTTGTATTTATATGGTCCAGACCCCCTGTATCCCTATTTACTTCTCTACTACACATTACACCCTCCACAAAAGTTGCCATTTTCAGGCCAGTGTGAACGCCTGAGCAAGCGTCTTGTTATTATTTAAAACTTGCATAGCATGACCAAATTGTCAGGCAGGCTTTGCCACTGATAACTAATTCAATGTTTTTTTTCTGTGTTGGTGTAATGTACTCAGGTGAAAATGATGCTTGTGATGTTACTCTGAGTGTATATCCACACCGGGTAAGCTTAAAAAATATGCCTGACCACGGTGGGAATCGAACCTACGACCTTTGGAATACTAGCCCAATGCTCTGCCAACTGAGCTACGTGGTCTGGTCTGGTCTGGTCGGTTCGAGTATGTGATATGTCGGAACAGAATCTAGTTCCTTCGATATCAATGTAATCTAATAATCATGTTTTTTCTGTGTTTGTGTAATGTACTCAGGTGAATATGATGCTTGTGATGTTACTCTGAGTGTATATCCAAACCGGGCAAGCTTGTAAAATATGCATATTTTTCGTAGGTATCGTTGGAAAGTGGAAGTTCTCGTCTTTCGAACGATGTAATTTCTGTTTCCATACGGTGTATAGTTTGAAAGATATTTGGGTTTAAAACAACACCACTCAAAGTTGCTACATTTCGACCGGATGAGAATGAGTTAAAATTCTGTTTTTCATTTTGCAAAGATATGATGTATTTGCACACTACAGTCTACAGTATTTTGCTGCGTTTTAATTGTAAATATGCAGTATAATTTTTCAATAATCCCGCAGTTTGGTGAATTGGTGGCTGTTAACCGTAAAACGAAGTTTGAAAGGCATAAACACGAATTTTGTCGAATACGAACCGGACGTTTTTAATAATTCAATCGTTGTTTTGGCTAATTCAATCGTTGGTTTGGGTAAGTGTAAAAATTTCTGTAGTAAAATTTCATACCGTACTTCATTTGTATTGTCGAGCTTATTCATATCTGCGAAATTAAAAATTAAAAAATAATTTACAATAAAAAATATGTTTTTGTGCAAGCTGGAAATGCAGTAATTATTATTAGTAATTAATACAGCACATCAGTTGTGTTTTTATATGCGTTTATAACGTGTTTTTTTACGTTTTATAGTAAATGTTGAATGATCAAAATATAACTAAAAAGCTTGTAAAGCAAATATATTTTATCGTATTTTAGACCAAATTCATACTCTGTCTGTCGCCAAAACGAGTTTTCCAGTTTCCCCTGACCTTGCAGCTTGACGGCATTTGAAACTAAAATTTGGTCTATTGAAAGCAAAGTAACGTACCACATTCTACACTTTGAAAATCAATGATTCTCAAGTTAAAAATATAGTCTTAATATTTTCCCATAATAATATTTTCACGTTACCACGGCATAATATTTTCACGTTACCTTTCATCTGTTAGTAAGAAAGGCGAGGGATATAACTATACATGCATGTATGTATTTCTAGTACCGATATCAATATTATTACATATTTATTTTCAATTCTGTATCTGGCCTTTAGACAACATTCGTCGCCTCGCCATCTGCCGACCTTTACCCATATAAGCCAAGAGTTTCAGAGCTGGTGCACTCTGTACAACAAGGGCAGATTTCGTGCTCGACCAATTAGCGCATTTGTTTACATTTTCGCTGTCAGCTAATCATAATGTAGGAAACGAGAAATTTACACCAAGGCGAGCTAGAAAATATTGCCATCTTCTCGGGCTTCCGTGAGATTCAATTTTAACTTTTTTAATTTAAATCCAAAAGATTATGATGTGGCACATTAAATCTAAAACTTTGCCGTGGGCATTTTTAAATTTCGACCTAGAACGGAAAATATCCGTGTTTGAAATTTTTCCCTATGTCGCGTATACAAATTTGAGTAATCTAATTTGACTGCAATAAAACTAAAAATTGCTATATTTTCTCTGCTTTACGTTTTTGTTGGAAAACTCTTTTTCGCTCTTGTTGACAATCATTTTGGTCAATGTATTATTTCATAACCTAGAAGATAACGCGTTTAGATAGTCTGATATTCTGCAAAATCGGTCGGACAGTATTTTTGTATTGATTTCCAGTATGATCGCGAGCGTGCGACTTTTTTTTAAAAATCAGGCGCTATAAACGCGTTATCGTCTAGGTTTTGATATAAAACATTGACCAAACAATTTGTAACAAGAGCGAAAAAGAGTTTTCAACAAAATCTCAAAAGCAGAGAAAATATAGCAATTTTTAGTTTTATTGCAGTCAAATTAAATTACTCAAATTTGACATTTGTATATACGCGACATATAGGGAAAATTTTCAAACATGGATATTTTCAGTTGTAGGTCGAAATTTAAAATGCCCACGGCAAAGTTTTAGATTTTAATGTGCTGCATCATAAACTTTTTGTTTTAAATTTAAAAAGTTAAAATTGAATCTCACGGAAGCCCGAGAAGACGGCAATGTTTTCGAGCTCGCCTTGGTGTAAATTTCCCGCTTCCTGCATTATGATTAATTAGCTGAGAGCGAAAATGTAAACAAATGCGCTGATTGGTCGAGCACGAAATCTGCCCTTGTTGCTCTGTATATTATTATAAACTATATTAAAATTAAACTAATTATTTGGTCTATTTTGGCTACATCAATATACTTTCTATCAAAGTGCAGGATGTTTTGCTAGTCCGTACCATCGTACGATTTAATGATTGGGCCAAAAAATTAACTAAAGTCTATTTTCCAGTTAAGCAAGCGATCATCTAACGCCTGCATGACACAGGATAAATTGGAAAAAGTTCACTGACTGCGCATTTAAATTTCAAGCCATTCGGTCTTTGTACGGGGTTGCACGTATATACAACAATAAAACTGAAAAGGTAAGACTATACGATTTATTCATTGTTTATAGCAGCATCTTAAAATTTGAAATCATTTTAACATTTAAAATATTCTCCACATGTTCATTGATATATAGAGGATATTACACGGCGGCGCGAAGATATATATGACTTTTAT